CATTTCGAGGCACTCCATTTTCATCCATCGGCATCCTATGTGAGTGCGGCTGAGGCCCCCTCATGTTGGTATAAGCCCATATCATGTTTTCATGTCATTTGCATTACATATGCCATTGCCTCGGTTTGCGTGCCCGTGTGCACGCATTTCGAGGCACTCCATTTTATTCACCGCCTCTTATGTGAGTGTGGCTGAGGCTCTCTCATGTTAGTATAAGTCCATGTTGCATTTTATATGCCATTTACCATTGCCTCGGTTTGCGTGCCTGTGTGCACGCATTTCGAGGCACTCCATTTTATTCACCGGCCTCTTATGTGAGTGTGGCTGAGGCTCTCTCATGTTAGTATAAGTCCATGTTGCATTTTATATGACATTTACCATTGCCTCGGTTTGCGTGCCCGTGTGCACGCATTTTGAGGCACTCCATTTTATTCACCGGCCTCTTATGTGAGTGTGGCTGAGGCTCTCTCATGTTAGTATAAGTCCATGTTGCATTTTATATGCCATTTACCATTGCCTCGGTTTGCGTGCCCGTGTGCACGCATTTCGAGGCACTCCATTTTATTCACCGGCCTCTTATGTGAGTGTGGGTGAGGTTATCTCATGTTAGTATAAGTCCATGTTGCATCCCATTTCATTTTCCATGTTATTTGCATTGCGTATGCCATTGCCTCGGTTTGGGTGCCCGTGCGCACGCATTTCGAGGCACTTCATTTTCATCCATCGGCGTCTTATGTGAGTGTGGCTGAGGCTCTCTCATGATTAGTATAAGTCCATGTTGCATTTTATATGCTATTTCCATGCCATTGCATTGTGTATGCCATCGTCTCGGTTTGCGTGCCCATCTGCACGCATTTCGAGGCATCTCATTCTCATAGCATTGTGTATGTTAGGATTGTATCTTAGTCGCATTTCATGCATATCATGCATATTGCATCGTGTTCGGGATAGGAGTTCGCCTGGGCACGGGAAACGAGGTGCGTTTCGTACTCCGAGTGACGGAACGCGTCTCAATTCCCCAGTCACCGACACTCCGGATCATCCATGATGGAGTGAGGTTTTGTTGTGTTTTCATGTACATTCATTCTACATTGAATTGCGTAATTCGGCTCCTCGGCCATCATGCATCGATATGCGTGATTGATGGCACGAGGATCGAGGCATGCATATATTTGTGAAAATACATTGTTTATGCATTTCCTGCTCTCTGTTGCAGCAAAAAAAAGAATCAGCAATTTCTCCGGACGTGGCACGCGTTTCAAGAATAACTGCCAAACAGAGGCTAATTGGGGCATCCCGGTGGATTTCCGCGCAAGACAACCCGGACATGCATCATCCATCAGAAGCAAGGCGGTCCCTGGCTTGCATGCCAGTTTGTAGCTTTCTTAGTTAATTTGTAAATTAATTAGAAATTTGTACATTATTTGGACTGTACTATTCTTTTATT